ATTCTGAGCTCTCCTCACCGCTATTCTTCATAGCTTGATGCATATTACTGATAGCCAGTTTAACCTGACTCCATTCAGTCAGTTGTTAAAGTCTGTTTATAAATAGCATCAGCAGGGAGCTATGTAGGAAAGAATGTTTATCTAGCCCAGTTACCTTAATCCAAATCAAGAGAAACTACATCTCTGTCATTTGATTGCTGACATTTTACTATAGGGATTAATACAAAATCATTAAGTGAAAAAAAAAAAAAAATGAATGAATGGGCTTTGCTGTTTTGTTATACGTCAGAAACTTAAATATTATATATAAACATTCAAGTTAGTTTGTGCCTACTATGGTCATTTTTAGATTTCTAAAGTGTGTGTGTGTGTGTGTGTTTGACATGTAATCTTATAAACAAACAAAACATGTAAAGTAAGCACCATCTCAGAAAAAAAAAAAAAAATGATGTGGTGCAAGGCCTATATCCAGGGAGATGTAACACCCTCTGAAAAGACTGGAAAATAGTGGAGAGAGGTGGGCTGTGGGAGAGACAGGATGCTCTTTCATGAACCAAACGCTTTAAGCCTACATATATCATCACCTTCTCATAAATGGACAATGTATGGCAAGATGAACTTCAGTTCTAAAAATACGAAGATTTAAAAAAATAATAAGAGTATTCAGAATCACAATATAGAAAATAACTCAGTAATAATGACACTGTTTTTGCATTTTCCAGTTAGTCTTCAATCATAAGATGCAAAATACAACTGTTTCATAGCAGCCAACATTCAAGTATATCATAAATAGAAATGTTATTGAGCTCTTAAACATGCAATGGATGACAGTTAAATCTACAATCGAAAATTCTCCCAACCAAATACACAATTTAAGCAAAGTAAAATTACATCTTATACAAACCAACAAGAAAAACAGGTGCCACAAGTTCACAAATAATTGCTAGGAACAACTTCTCTAGAAAACAATTAACTGAAACTGAAGAACTATAGGAAGCAAAAGGGAAAATGGAAAAATGCAAAAAGGGAAGGGGGTAAAAAGTTCCAATCAGCTCTTCTAAAATTAACCCTATAAGGTCCTGTTACATACACACAGATAAGCATATACAATTTAGTACTTAATCTGCATTTGGTTGCTGGATATGAGTTATTAGGGCAATCAAATTATTAATGCCCTTGGGCGAACACTAATTAAAGGGAGACTTCCGAATCAAGTCAATTGTTACTTACAGTACTACATGTCAAACACACTCAATTTTCAAGTCTTCTCAAGAGAAAAAAAATAACTAATTTTATTCTCTAGGGAATATATGTTTTGAATATGGAACTCTAGTTCATAAATGTAAAAATAGTGGAGACCAAAGTAATTGGCTTAGTGTGAACTTTCTAGAGATGAAATTGAGAAAAATTAAAAGTTACGACACTTAATAAAAATATCCTACAATAAATATACTTTTCTCTTAATTAGTTTTAATGTATAGGGGAGGATAGCTTATTTTAAACAGACATCTATTAAACATGTGAGGCTAAATACGACAATGTAATCCCTTTTTAACAAGCAGTGCATTTTATAGATGCAGAACTGAAGGTCTGAGAAGTTTTGTGACTTGGGGAGTAGAGAGGGACTTTTAACAGATAATGTCTTCTATTGCAGATAACAGTCATAATAGGATAGATCACTGCATAGTATAAAGTATTTAAGATTAAAACAATTGAAGTGATTTTATCCTCTCTGGGGATGGATACCACTGTCCCAACAAGAATAAGCTCTGTTCGCAGAGAACAAATATTAGAAGTTCTTACTGAAAAACATTTTTATAAATAAAATACGTATTTTTATCAAAACTGAATGAAACTTTCATAAAGTGTTTTTGGACTTTCTGACTGAGAGCTCTTAGATAGAGACAAGAAGGAAATGTTACTTTCCTTTGTGGAAGTCTTTACAAACCAGCCCGTCTTTGCACTGACACTTGTCATGATTATTTCTTTCCTTCCTATCTCCTAATCTGATTCAGTATTCATTTATAGGGAAAGTAGCAATGTTAAGATATTCTAGTTTCCTCTGCATTGCTTTAAATCTTTTAAGAGAAATAACTGTGGCCTAACAGTAATTTACATCATATCTCTTAGATATCCAATGACGAATTCTCAATATCTCTTGTAAATTATAGTGATAAATATAATGAATCCCCAAAACAACCTGAAGAAATTTCTGAATTATATTGATTTCAAAATAGAACCAATTACAAAAATGACGATTACATATAAATGGAAATCAGAACCAAGAAAGAGCTTTTGGAATAGGTGGCAAATACTGAGATGGCTTAGATTCTGAGCTCTATCTGAAACCCGTCCTGAACAGACCGAAATATAAATTTTTAAAACTCTTTCCTAGCTCCTATTCCTGAAAGTAATTTTAAAAGAACGTCTGATGGTATCCTTTATGACACAGACACGCCTCATCATCATTCCTGCAAAACCTTGCCTACGAATGCAAATAAACTACACTTAGTGGCAGCTCCCTCTTTAGGAGATATTCTCACATTCCAAATCTCCATGTGTACACATTTCATGCTTTCTACTTTATCTCAAATAGTTACTAGGTATAGTTTTCCTTTCAAGATACTGTGAACATGCTACATACGTGTCAACTTTCTTGTTAAGTTCTAATAGTCCTATAATTAATATAGACCAGTGTCTTTCAAACTTTATTATGCCTAAGAATCACCTGGGGCATTTGTAAAATGCAGATTCCTGGACCCCGTTTGCTGTTCTCTAAGTGATTCTGATGTAGGTCAGAGGATCAAACTTTAGGGCTCTGGTACAGGTGGTTCTTAAATTTATGGCAAGTTGCATTCCTAGAAAAACTGCCATCAGTCAAGTCTCGTTTTCCCCTATAAGCATAATGTAAATAGGAAGTTACAACTTTTATGAAGGAACTGGTGTTTACATTTTGAGATGTGCTTTAGCATGGTACTTTATCACCAGTATACTGTAAAGCATAAAGCCTTCTAAAGAATGCACAACGAATAACTAAGAACATAGTAAACAATTATAAAGGACAATATGATATGCATCGGTCTACCTTACAAATTTTTTAAAATGTAATTCTTGCTTTATTTTTACTGCAACATAAGACCCTTTAAAACATGGAACTCAAAGAGTTTTTCTCTGAGAACATAAACAACTTTTAAGACTTCTGATAATATTTAATCACTGGCTACTCTTTCAGAAGTTAATCCAGAGTATTATTTTACTGCCCTTTTCACTTGCTGTACTTTTTTATGGCAACATAAAACACCAATTTTTGGAGTTGTTTGGAAATAAGATTTGCATGTTCATTAACATCTTTAACTTCATCTTGCCTTGTTTCACCGCAGCACAGGTGAATGCTGGAGCTATTTCAACTGTTTCTCATATCTAAAAACAGTAGTTTCATATGGCTTAACCTAAAAAAACTACCTTTACTATACAGCTATAAGCCATTATAATATATTTCCCATCCACTGATCCATCACAATGTATATCTGCTTTAGTGTCTAAGGCCTCAAAGCTCTGGCTTAAATGGTGGTCAGATGCAAAGGCAGAAAAAAAGAGTTTGTTTTATCCACCAAATTCTTTCCATTTTCGTCAAAAGAACTACATTACAATATCTGAACATGTGTATACACATTATATATGTAACAATCATGAGGTCACTACTTTTTCCACCTCATTAATCATTTTCTCTTAGAGTATTGTATGGGTGTCCTGTTTGGATCTGCCTTCAATACCAGTTTACAAGTTGAAAAAGAAAAGTCAAGATCTATTAATTTCAAAGCTTCATAACAAGTTATTCTACATTGACTGGTTACTTT